GGAGCAACCAATCACATTACATATGATATGGGTAATATTGCCATGAGTAATGAGGTAATAGGAGGTCAGCTGATACACACAGCAAATGGGGCAAGTTTGTCCATTACTCACTTTGGTTATACTTCTCTTACTTCATCCTCTAACCATATTTTTCATCTTCAAAACCTTCTTCATGTCCCTTCAGTTACTAAAAATCTTCTTAGTGTTAGTCAGTTTGCTAGAGACAATAAAGTATATTTTCGATTTCATCCATATTTTTGTTTTGTCAAAGATCAGGTCACTGGTAAAGTCCTTCTTCAAGGAAATCTTCATGATTGTCTATACTATTTCAAGTTGACAGCATCATCTCCAAATTCTAAAAGCATTTCAACAGCCAATCATATTCTCCAAACTACTACATCATTGTGTAATACATTTATACCCCAGTGTAATAAACCCATAGATGTTTGGCACAAACGATTAGGCCATCCATCATCCCTTGTTATAGATAAAATACTTGACGAATGTACTCCTCATGTTTCAATTAATAAAACACTTTCATTTTGTCAAGCTTGTGCAATTGGCAAGAGCCATTCTCTCTTAACATTCTCTCCTTCCACCACCACATATACTGCTCCATTGCAACTTGTTGTTTCTTATCTTTGGGGACCCGCATATAAAACTTCCAGAAATGGGTATCGATATTACATCTCTTTCATTGATGCTTTCTCTCGTTTCACTTGGGTTTACTTTCTTGAAACTAAATCTCAAGCTTTCTCGACCTTTATCCAATTTAAAACCTTAGTAGAAAAACTTCTAAACACTTCCATTCTATGTTTCCAATCAGATGGTGGTGGAGAATTCAAATCCTTCTCTTCTTATCTTAAAACAAATGGGATTGAACACCACTTTTCTTGTCCCTACACCTCCCAACAGAATGGAATTGTAGAACGTAAACATCGACACATAGTCGATACTGGCCTTACTATTCTATCACACTCCTCTATGCCTCTAGAATTTTGGGATGATGCTTTCTCAACAGTTGTGTACTTAATAAATAGACGTCCTACTTCTACTCTTGAATGGATAAGTCCATTGGAAAAACTTTTTCATCAAACACCAAATTATTCATTTCTAAAATCGTTTGGTTGTCTATGTTATCCTTGTCTTCGACCCACAATAATCACAAACTACAACCTCGTTCTACCCCTTGTATTTTTCTAGGGTATAGTAATGTCCATAAAGGTTACAAATGCCTTGCTTTCAATGGGCGACTATATTTTTCTCACCATGTCATCTTTGATGAAATCTTCTATCCCTTTCAAACTTCAACTTCTTTTCCTAATTCCTCACCTCCTATTCCTTCCACTGTCACCACCACTTTATTTACTATCTCATCTCCCTCTCTACCAAACTCTTCTCCTATTTCAACTAATTCTCCCCCTACTGTACCTACTTCTTCTAGTCAACCTTTGTCTTCTCCTCCAACTAATATACTTCCAAATCCACCTACAACAGAACCTAATCCAACAAATTTTCTTAATTCGTCTCCTTCTCCTCATCCTACAAATTCTACCTCAAATGCTTCGTTATCTGCTGACCCTTGTCCAACGGTACCTCAGAACACCCATACTATGGTAACTCGTGCAAATAATGGAATTTTTATACCCAAAGTTTATTTGGCTGATTACAAAGAAGTAGAACCTACATCTGCTAAGGAAGCTTTGAAACATAATCATTGGCGGAAGCCTATGGAAGAAGAATATGCCGCTTTAATGAAAAATCAAACATGAGAATTAGTTCCACCTCAACCAAATCAGAAAATTGTAGGCTGCAAGTGGGTTTTCAAGATTAAAAGAAACACAGATGGTTCTATATATTGTTATAAAGCACGTCTCGTAGCTAAAGGATTTCATCAGACAGCTGACATAGATTATTCAGAAACTTTCAGTCCTATTGTCAAACCAGTTACAATGAGAGCTTTATTTACCTTGGCTTTAACTAATGGCTGGGAACTTCGTCAAATTGACATAAACAATGCATTTCTACATGGTCTACTTAAGAAAACTATCTTAATGGAACAACCAACGAGATTCATTGATTCAGACTCCAATCATCTTGTCTGTAGACTGACTGGTGGTTTTGCTGAACGCACGCACTGAGCGTGGTAACAATTCTATAGATGCAAGCGCACACCTATCAGAGTAATATAAAATGGATGAAGTATCCAAGTATCGATCCTCAAGGACTTCTAAATAATTTCCAAACTCTAAAGTTTTAATGAATAGTGAACGTTGAAATGAGTGATTTTTGTAAAATGGGAAGTGGTCACAAATAATGGTTTTGGATTTGGGATTCTGTCTTATAATGGTAAAACCTAGCCCGAATTACTTCAAGTTAGCCAACAAAGAATCAAGGATACGCTAAGGACGATGTGCATTTTACTTTAGGAACCAACGACTACGCTTTTCACTTGACTTATGTCTAAGCAAGTTCAAAGTCCTAAGACATTCCCTAATATGTCTATTATGAGAGATATCTTAGTTTTAGGATGGAAATAGTCGCAACCTCGGG